GATGCATATCTACTACTTTAAAATCCTTTGGTATTTTTCTTTTTTCACTTTTTAATTATTAAAGTATAGTTGCCTGGAAATGAACATTAAAACCACATAGAACGCCATAAAAAGTCTTATTCCCCAATTCCTTTTCTAGTTTCCTCCTAATAGGTTTCTTCATTTGATTGTTTCTGTTTCTATTATTTCTGGTATTTAGCTTGATAGTGCTAAGTGGCATACTACAACTACATCTTCGATTATCAGCTCAAAGCTTTATCGAAAGACTTTTAGTTACAATAGGTGAGAAATTTATTCACTTATAGATCCCCTTCTCCCACCTGCAAATCATGGATAGTTCTGTATTCTTATTGATTGTTAACCTTATGATTTTGCAGAATATTCCATTTCTGTTTATTGACCCATTAATTGTTGGTGGTAACTCTTGGTTCCCCTTCTATATAAGTTGGAAAATTAATACCCATTTTCTTCCATCCACTGCTTCTCTCCCATCTACTCCTCACCCTCTCTCAACTATATCACCTCTGTAATGTTGCCAAGGCTTACAGCACATGCCTTCTGTTTAGTAAATTTGTTCTCCATGTTCTGTCAGTTAAGTCTGATCATTGAAAGCCAACGAACAAGCTGTATTTAAAGTACAGATATTATAAATATTAATCTCTACAGAAATAGGTCTTATGCTGGGATCTGTAGAGGGGAATGTTTCAATATCAAGGCCAAGTGGGTTTTCTTTTCCTAGACTGTACCAAATCATGCATTTTGGTTGGTTTTATATTTAGTCTATGATGTGTGTGTGTGGGAAATAGCTGATAGATGGATGATTCTCCCCATTAATGTTTCTCTCCCTCTCTTTCCCTTCTTCTCTCTGAAGTCAATAAAAAAGAGAGAAAAATTTAGGAAAATATCTACCAATAAAGAAATAAGAAAACTATGGTATCATCTACAAATACTTTATAGTTCTTAAAAGTGATGTTTGTGGGCAATTTTTAATAATGTGGGATAATTTTGAGAAGATATAATAATGAAAAGATATAAAATTGTATGTATCACACGATTTGGATGATGTAAAACACATATTCATATTAATTAGTGTTAACAGTGAGGGAAGAGATAGCAAAAAATGCTTATTTTCTTCTTTGTACTTGTTGTAAGTTTTGTTTTATCCCTGACATGTTGGTAGGAAGGGTTTCTATTCTAGACCCTGCTCATCTCCATCTACTTCCTTAAAACTGGGGATTTAAGTCACACATTGCACACTCTGTCCACTCAGCTTCCGGGGCACTTCCTCCTGTGCCTTCTCCCCTTCCCCCCTGCCCAGCCCCAGTGCCATCACTCACTTCTGGGGCAGCCACTCTGCGTCAGGAATGTGTTAGTTCTGTTTTCGACAGCACTTTGCAAAGCAATGCATATTGTGACATTTGTTCCTTTGTTGGTTTGAGAGCTGCTGGAGCATTTTTGCCTATTTGGAGACAACAGAACTCTGGTGTTTAATGGATTTGTGGGGGAGTGAGAATATGAGAATATGACATCTGTTTCGACTTCCACCTAATACAATTAATATTAAAAAGCATAGACAACTCCCATGCATTTCCCACTTTCAATGGAAAAAAACAAAACTCTTTGCTTTGGCTTTATTTTGTTTGCTTTTAATAGCTCTTTGCACAAATGTATTAGCCCAAATAGGGTCTTGGTTTGACAAGCGCAGTAAGAGGTGGATGAGTAGGACACTGCTGAGCCTTTTATGACCTGATAGGTCTTCCTCTGCCTCAAAATGCTGCACCATTTCTTGTCAACGAGTGCTGTCACACGCACTAGTGATTTTAAAACTGGTTCCATGTCAACAGAACTTGACTTATACAGAAAAAACTCAAGAATGTGCAGAAGTTCCATTTATCTTTAAAACAAAACAAACAAACAAAAACACACACAACAACAACACACCCACAAAACCATGATGGTCAATGCAGTCATACCTAGAGTAGTAACCTGACCTTTACTAGTATATGCTCAACTCCATGAGCCTGTGAACAAAGCAAGGACATGGCGGATGCTAATAGAGTGCTTCCATGGGCCAGACACTGCTTAAGTGCTTTAGGTACATTTGTATTCACAGCAAACCAGGGAGGGATATCCCCTCTCTACAGATAAGGAAACTGAGGCTCAGAGAAGTCAACTGATTCGCTGAAGGTCACCGAGCCTGTCAGCTCAGGCAGTCCAACTCCAGAGCCACACTTTCTGTCACTGTGCTCTGCTCCCTCATGTAAACCATGGTGGAGAAGCACCAAAAGGGTGTTCTAGAAGGCAGGGAAGTACATTCAGTCTGGCTCGTTCTTCTGGTTAAAAATGTTCTTTGTGCTTTCCTTGGGTGTTCTGTACTGATAGCTTCTTGCTCTTGAAGTCAGAACATTTCAAAGTGTTGCAATCACTCAGTTCTTCAGTTGGTATGAGGGTGCCACAGAAGAAGCCAACCCTGGGGAGTGGTGGGAGATGGGCAAGATCAGAGGCAGCTGTGGACGGAGGAATGCAGGCAGACTTCATGTAAGGGCTGTTTGCGTGGGGCCTTGAAACCATACAAAATTCACAAGGAGAGAGAACGAGGACCTAGTGATGGTTTCTGAACACATGCTCATTTAAAAAAAAATTTTTTTTTAAAATTGATTTCAGAGAGGAAGGGAGAGGGAGAGAGAGATAAAAACATCAATGATAAGAGAAAATCATTGATTAGCTGCTGCTTGCACACTCCACACTGGGGATCGACCCTGCAACCTGGGCATGTGCCCTTGGTCAGCATTGAACCTGGGACCCTTCAGTCCGAAGGCCGGCACTCTATCCATTGAGCCAAACCGGCAAGGGCTGACCACATGCTCTTTTATTCAGTCGTAGCGTACCAGTCCTTTTGGAGTCTCTGAGTATCTGCACCTGAGTCAGCACCATTTTTCTTGGGGGAGAGGTTTCAGGGTTCAACAGCCTGATCTCCACAGTCACCTTGGGCGCTCCCCTGCTCTTCCAGAGATAATGTTTCCTCCCACTCAGGTCACCCTGTCTCCATGACACCCATGATTTGAGGTGGGGGATGGGGTACTGTTTGCAACATCTGCGGTTTGCGGAAGCAACTCTGGACATTTTCTGTTGCGGGAAGTGACTGACTCCACGCAGAGGTGGGATGGCGTATGTGTCAAAAGGGGGCCCCCAAGAGGAGTCTGAGCCCACAAAAAGAGACCCCCGGGGCCCATGCGGCGGCCCTTCCGAGACTAGACCTGTGACAAGGGTCGGTTTCACACGTGGTCAGGCACTTCCTGTGCACTGAGCTCTCACAGGGGCATCTCAGCACCTGTGGACCCCACGGACAACTGGGGGTGTTGTTCACAGAAATGACACCGAACTGCCTCTGCCACGCTCCTTTGCTAAACCATCAGCTCGAAGCAAACCAGAGGCACCTGTTTCCTCACCCCACTCCCACCCTCCCCTCACCCCCATCCCCATCCCCAGGAGAACAGTTCCCATCTCCCAGGTCACCAACACGCTGCCCTCCTCTTGGCCACGGACCTCAGTCACTTCCTTCTGCATGTCACTAGGGTAGCCGGCTGGACTCTCCTGCAGAACTGCGGAAGGGAGGCCCATGCCTCCCAGGTCCTAGGCCTTGCCCTCACCCATCTGAAGGTAGATTAACACACTGAGCTTTCCCGGTGGCTACAAGGGAAAGAGACCATCCCCTTCCCTTTGCAGAGCATTCCTGTGAGAAACCAAGTGTTTGGGAATCCTCCCGGTGGCCTTTGGAGGCGCAGGTAAATATTTGTAAAGGTGATGCCGAAACTGGTTTGGCTCAGTGGATAGCGGACCTGTACGTCAGTTCCCAGGTTCAATTCCGGTCAAGGGCATGTACCTTGGTTGCGGGCACATCCCTAGTAGGGGGTGTGCAGGAGGCGGCTGGTTGATGTCTCTCTCTCATCGATGTTTCTGATACTCTATCTCTCTCCCTTCCTCTCTGTAAAAAAATCAATAAAATATATTTAAAAAAACAAACAAAAAAAATTTAATATTTGTAATGGTGAAATTGCCATATTTATCATCAAGCAGCGCCACAGGGAGGTAAGCAGGGCCCTGACACAAGCAGATGGGGTGCCATGCTGCTGCCCTGCCCCCCTGGCGGAGCTGGGCCAGCAGACAGCGAGGGGGTGTGATTGGTGTTCTAGCCCAGTGGTTGGCAAACTCATTCGTCCACAGAGCCAAACATCAACAGGACAATGATCGAAATTTCTTTGGAGAGCCAAATTTTTTAAACTTAAACTTCTTCTAATGCCACTTCTTCAAAACAGACTCACCCAGGCCGTGGTATTTTGTGGAAGAGCCACACTCAGGGGCCAAAGAGCCGTTTGTGGCTTGTGAGCTGCAGTTTGCGAACCACGGTTCTAGCCCCTTGAGCAGGAAGCTGGGTGGAGAGATTACATCAGCTCTCAGCTGTCACCTTGGTTGGTCCTTCGGTGACAGAGGTGACTCACTACCCAGGTGTTCTGACATGAGGGCCTCTGAGCCGAAATGGGGCTCTTTCCAGGATGCTGGCCGGCGCGATGGGCACGAAGGGCGGGCAGACGAAGGGAGACATCGGAGAATCCCGTGCCCCTCCACTCACTCAGTCTCCGGTGCTCCCTTTCTTTTTTCATCTGTGGGTACAAGCCCCAAAGGAACCAGGGCTGCTGCTCTCAGCAGAAAGTTTGCTTTCTGAGCATCTGACGTACCCAGCAGGCTTGTTGCTGCTCAGGGGTGTGATTGCGATCACATCCTTGAGACACCACAACCCCCTCTTGTTTACACTGTGACGGGCCATGAGTCACTAGGGTACCTCATGGTCTGACCCAAACTGTTCCAGGAGGCCCCAGGAGCTGGTGTTTTGGGCACTTCCAGAGTCATACAAAAGGCAAAGGTTGGATTTCTGAGCACTGACTCAGAAAAAAAAAAAGTGTAGGTCCCTCAGTCTGTGCTTAGACCCAGTCCCTTCTTACTCACTCTCTCTGAAGACAGGAAAGCTCAATCCTCTCAATGTTCCTGCTTCTTTAACAAGAGACCTCTAAGATTCTGGTGATTAATTCAAAAATCTTCCTGGAATGAGAAGAATTAAGATGAAGAAGCACTTGTAATTTTATTTTTTAATTATGCATTTATTTCTCATTTCCTATTTATTTTAAAATAGATTTTTATTGATTTCAGGGAGGGAGGGAGAGGGAGAGATAGAAATATCAATGATGAGAGAGAATCATTGATCCGCTGCCTCCTGCACACCCCCTACTGGGAATTGAGCTAGCAACCTGGGCATGTGCCCTTGGTCGGAATTGAACCAGGGACCCATTAGTCCTCAGGCCAATGCTCTATCCACTGGCCCAAACCGGCTAAGGCAGCACTTATAATTTTAAATAGACACAATTTATTGTATATCGTATAATAGATGTGTAATACGAATTTCTGTGGAAGGAATTCCTTTTCAAATGCAGGAGGTGGTCTTTACTATTTGACTGAGTCTTGTAATATGCCTATCTGAGGAGAAAGCATCCAAATATAAAGACATTATTGATCCAATAACTTCCCCACTTTGGAAGATCAGATTTTTACATAGATATTTTCTTCAGTGTTTAAAAAAAAAAAAGTGCAGTATCCTGAAATCTTTATTTTAATTTTGTTTTATGATTATAAAGGTACTACATATACGGTATCATTTTTCATACAGAAGTTTTAATTTTATGTGTTCAGACTATCAATCTTTTCCTTTATGGTTTGTGCATTTTATTCCTCATGGCTGACTGCACAGATGGCACGATCTTTCCACTCCCTGCGTTCCTGCATCCGTGCAATGTCTGTACAGCTCCTCCGGTCAGCAGGAGGACCTATCGCTACCCTACTGGGCTCTCAGAACCGGCTCTGGCCAAGGGAGTGCGATGGGAGTGAGGCTGTGGGAGCTCTGAGCTCAGAGGCTTGGAACTCTGTCGGCTGCCAGGTACATGAGCTCAGGCAGCCTCCTGATGATGGACATGTGGCCCAGACACCCTGTGACCAGCCAACGCCAGTCCCCAGGTAACCTGACAGCCGGCCACAGTGACATGAATGAGCCCAGGAAAGACCTTCAGGACTGCCCCCGAGCCCAGATTAAACTGCTCAACTGCAGAATGGTCAACAGGAAAAGCTGGTTGCTGCTTTAAGCCGCTGAGTTTTGGGCTGGCTTGTTAGGCGGGAATATTGAAACAGCGCGTGTCTTGCTAAAGAGGTCAGCAGGAGAGGTCTTTACCTTGAGATCAGAGAGGGTCTTCTATGTTCTCTTTTCAAAGTCTCTCCGTTTTGCTTTTCATATTTTTGGACCACATTCTGGAATGAACGAATTAACTGGAATTAATTTTTTTTATTGTATGAGGTAGAGACCTAATGTATATCTGCTCATTTCTTTCTATTTTTTGAATGTTTGAAATATTTCATGATAAATGAAAACCATTAGAAAGGAAATAAACAGTTACGAACAAAAACTTAGAGAACTACCACAAAAATAAAAACAAGACTTCACCCCCAATCAATAAGACAACTCAGCAATAACCACTTATAATTGGAAGTATTTCCTTTTAGCTTCAATTTAGATGAAACTGAAATCAAATTGTTTTCCATTTTTCTCACTTAGCATGGCATTGTATTTCCCTATATTATTCCAATTCTCTCAAATAATTTGTAATAACCACATACAGTTCATCACACGGGTAAACCATGATTGATTTAGTCAGTCAGACACGTACTGTTGGTGGTTAAGCTCTCTCTCACTTTTCAGTATGAATGCTAGTAGAACTTGAATATTGTTGCACACTTATCCCTGATCCTTTAAAAAAATATATTTTATAGATTTTTATTTTTATTTTTTATTTATTTATTTTTTTTTTTACAGAGAGGAAGGGAGAGAAAGAGTTAGAAACATCGATCAGCTGCCTCCTACACACCCCCTACTAGGGATGTGCCCGAAACTAAGGTACATGCCCTTGACCAGAATTGAACCTGGGACCCTTTAGTCCACAGGTTGACGCTCTATCCACTGAGCCAAACCAGTTAGGGCCCTGATTAATTCTTTTTATTTTTAATAATATTTTTAAAAATATATTTTATTGATTTTTTACAGAGAGGAGGAAAGAGGGATAGAGAGCCAAAAACATCGATGAGAGAGAAACATCGACCAGCTGCCTCTTGCACACCCCCCTCTGGGGACGTGCCCGCAACCAATGCATATGCCCTTGACTGGAATTGAACCTGGGACCTTTCAGTCCGCAGACCAACGCTCTACCACTGAGCCAAACCGGTTTCGGCTCTGATTAATTCTTTAGGGTCCTATCTGGAAATGAAGTTCCTGGATCAAAAGGTTTGAACAATTTTAAAATCTAAAATATAGTTAGAGAAAGACACCCTCTAGAGAGGGGGCAAGCATCCACGCACCTCCGCCAGCTGTGAATCAGAGGTCCGTCCATCCGCACGCACATCCTCATGCTTTTGCTAAAATTAATGAATTAATTCAATCTCAGCTGATCCGTTTAGTCAGAACAGATCACATGCTGATGAGAATGTAAAATGTGGAAGACGCACATAGCAAGCAGAAAAGCCTGTAATGATTCATTAACACTGGGGCTGCAGTGCCTGAATGGTGTATATCATGTTGACTGAGTTTTGTGGGTGTTGACCCATAGCTGCGATCAAGGAATAAATCCCAGTTGGTCATGGTATATACTCCTTTTAATATGCTGCTGAATTTGATTTACTCATGTTTTGTTGAGGATTTTTGAGTAAATACTCATAAGGGATATTGGTCTGTGGTGTTCTTGTCTCTTCGTCTGGCTTTGGTATTCTTGTTCAGAGATCGAGTGAGTAATCAAAAAATCTCTGAACTGAGAAAAGTCCTGGACCCGGTGGCTAAGCGGTGAGTTTTACCAAACATTTAAAGAAGAATTAATACCAACCCTTCTTAAATTCTTCTCAAAAATCAAAGAGCAAGGAGCAGTTTCTACCTACCTCACATCTATTAGACGAGCATTATCCCAATACCAAAGCCATCCAATCTGTGGTGTTTCGTTATGGCGGCCCTAGCAGGGCTTTTTGCCTCCTTCTCTGTTGGTGTCTCCTGGTTGCTGGCTTCTTCGGCTCCAATTTGGGGATGGATAAGGGAAAAAGAAGACTCAGGTAACTCACCACCATGCACTTCCTCTAGTGCTAGGATCCGTAGTCAGTCTGTCTTCCTCTCTCCACCTTTCAGTTTTCCTATGTTTGTCTTATATATAACGTCCTGGGTTTTTAGTTGTACTTAGAGAAGGGAACAGGAAAACGATATTGACTCCATCTTCTCAGAAATGACGTCTCTTTAAGTGCTTGCTTTTTGTTGCTGGAAGGATGGGGCCACTGGAGAGGTCGAAGGCACAAGACAGTGAGGGGCCCGCTGATGGAAGCTGACATGGGGGCAAGGCTGGCACCTGAAGGCCGAGGAAGGGAATCAGCCCTGGACAGGGCCAGGGTAAGAGCACATCCTCAACATGGAGCAAGGAATGGGCAGAGAATGTGGACAAATGAGAACGAGACCTATGCCAATGGCTTTGTCTCCCCCATGAAGGAGGAGCTGAGTGGTGAATGATCGCGGAAGAGGCGGGATGAGGGGCTGGAGAAGGAATTTGGAGGCTTGGACCAGCTGTGAGTATTTCAGAGAAACTTCCCCTTGCCCTCTTGGGGAGGGCTGGCCGTCAGCAATGATGGCAATTGCTGTCGCTAACATTTACTACAGTGTGCTGCATGCCCGCCCCGACCCTCCTCTGCGCTCCGGAGAGCCAGGTGTCCTTGATTTCCACTTGGTGGTGAGGAGGCCAAACCTTGCAGAGATGGAGTAACAAGCATTTCGTGGCCTGAAGTGGCAGATCCAGGACTTGACATTGGAAACCATGATTCTGTGGAGTCTTCACATGTGGGTGAATTTCCCTAGAAGGCTGAGCATAAATACAGAAGTGGAATTGCTGGAGAGAGGCAGGGTTCCTTGAGGCAGAGATGACGGAAGGGTAGTGTGTAGATTGTATTGGGACCAGATGGACTGAGGGAGTGACCATGTGTCTGGTTGGAGGAAGAATTAAGTCAAGACAGTATGAGGCCCTGACTTGTTTGTCTCCTTGGTTAGAGTGTTGGCCCTTGGACTGAGGGTTGTGGGTTCGATTCTGGTCAAGGGCACACACCTTGGTTGCAGGCTCCACCCTGAGGGAGGCAACCAATTGATGCATCTCTCTCACATGGATGTTTTTTTCTCTCTCTCTCTCAACCACTCCCTTCCACTCTTTCTAAAAATCAAAGGAAAAAATATCCTTGGGTGAGGATTAACAAAACAAAAAGACCTCATGGGGCTGATAATAATTATCTATAATAATAAAAGCATAATATGCTAATTAGACCGGACAGCCAAACGACCTTCTGGACAAAGATGGGGCCGCAAAGGCCAAGCCCCTTGCACGAATGTTATGCATTGGGCCCCTAGTAATTATAATAATAATAAAAATAGCAGGTCCAAGTTGCCAGAGATCTTAACAGAGTGGAAAACAGGAGGGAGAGATGTACTGAGGGAGGGTGAGAGGGGTGGGAACGGTAGGAAGTTGTGGTCAGAGAGGGAGATTCTAAGTTAAAGATTTCTTGGTAAGGCAGATTCTGGAGGTGACAAGGTTTGTAGTGTGGGTGGCTGAAGGGTGGGGAGACCAAAGGATTTGAGGCCAAGAAACTCGAGGGCAGAAAGGTAGTGTCCCTTTTCACACAGATGGCCCCAGGGGGAGATGGAATTGTTAGAGGGGATCAAGTTCACTGACACCATCACCAAGGGTGCAGGGACCACTGCAGTGAGGAAGGCAGTGGGAATTAATAACCCAGGAATGGGTGGGGGGGCAGTGCATGGAAAATTACTGCAAGGAAACACCAGGAGGGTGGGGGTTGTTCTGGCGAAAGCAGGGTAACAGGACTCTTGCTGAGGCTGGTCAGGGCGGCCGGACCTCACATGGGCTGGTGGAGCCTGAGGAACCCAGTCAGGGGCTAAGGGTAATCAGATATCGAGGGTGGAAGTACTTACTACAACCACTCTGCAGGGTTCTTGATAAAAACCGATTTTTACAAAGAAGTGCCCTGATGTATGGGCCTAGGAGAAGGTTCAGGAGCCCGATTTAAGTTTGATCAAGCAAAGAACTTTGTTAGAGTTAAACAGACTTGGAATCCAAATTGGAGCTGTCAGACCAGGGGGTGAAGCCGGCGGGGATGCAGGGTGGGGGTGGGGGGGAGGCACAGCAAGTGTGATGGTGCTCAAAAGAAATGAGTGCTATGCTTAGAAGTGAAACCAGGGTAAAAGGGTTCTGATACTGATCCTCACAGCTGTCTCATTCACCCCCAGAGTTTTGGGGGTACCTCCATGTGGTAAGCCTGGTACTGGGGACATTGAAACCCCAAGGAAATGACAGTCCAGCAGGGGAGGCAGGCATGTGAGCCCATTTACAAAACAGTGGTAGCAGCTACTTGGAATCAGTGAGAGGGACTGGCCTGGTCTGGGGTTGCGGCTAGGGTGGTGAGAGCAGGAGGTGATGCTTAGGCCACCCGGAGAGACATTTAACAGGTGGCACTATGATCAGTGGCAGGGAAAGGCACAGCTGAGAGAGCCTGGTGGTCTGGGGTGGAGCACAAGAGCCACGTGTTGGGGTGAGAACAGGCAGGGGTCTCCCAAGCCACTCAAGGTCATGCCTCCACCTTATTCTGAGTGTCCTGCAAGGAGGGGGTGACAGGGAACAATCAGATTTTAGAAAATGTGAAAAAGCAAAGAACACAAGCATAGCACAGTGGCTTCAAGTGTATAAAATGCACTGCTAGCGCCGCTGAACGTCAACCTATTAAGCAGGAGGTCATGGGCACATACCCAGGTTATAGGCTCGATCCCCAATAGGGGGTGTGCAGGGAGGCAGCTGGTCATTGATCTCTCATCATTGATGTTTCTTTCTCTCTCTCTCTTCTACTCTGAAATCAATAAAAATATATATAAAAAAAAATCCAAAATGCATCGCTAGACCGGCACATGTCAAAATAAACAGGTTCACAGAGGAAATCCCTTGTGGCAAAGTTCCCTTTATGATGGCCAGCATATTGTTTTTGTAACAAAATGTGGTTAAAGGGAAAGGGAACAAGCATGGGTTACCGGAATCACATTTTCCTGGCTGGAAAGAAGTCACAAGAAAACAACATAAGAGGAATACTTTCCATTCCCTGTGTCTTCTCTTAGCCTCAGGGTGAGGCTGCTCAGTGGAGCTTCCTGGTCTACCCCCCAGGAGGATTAGGGACAAAGAGCAAATAGACTAATGGACTCTCATGGCAGGCAGCGGGTGTGGCAGGAAGGAGATGGCCCTAAACACCCCCAGCCCTCACACAGAAATCCACTTGTCTAAAGAGCAGGTGTGGACCAAGAAAGGCTCAGGGCTCTTCCAGGTGAAAATGGGCTGAAAGCAGAGACGTGGCAGCTTGCCACAAAGCAGGATCCCAGGTTGGACCTGGATCCTGGGAAGATAGCTTGCCACGGGCTGTTTTAGGGCAATTGGCAAAATGTGACTATGGACTGTGGATCTGATGGATGTTAAGTTTCCTGATTTCCATAATTGTTCTGTGGCTACACAAAAGAATCTCCTTGTTCTTAGGAAATACACCCTGAAGTATTTAGAAAGTATGCAGGACATGGTATCTACCACTTCCTCCTCATCGACCAGGAAAATAATGCGTATATTACACATGGACGGGGAGGGGAATGATAGCATAAGAGGGGGGCTAAATATGAACACCGGGTGACTCTGGACTTTCCAGCCTTCTTGGCACCCAGTCAATGCCATGTGACCGGGAAGAACCCTTCAGCACCTACAGGATTATGCCAGATAATAAATAGTTTTATAATTTTAGGATAGCAAACCTTAGGTGTTTCTTGTGTTAATGTAGCAAATGACAACTCATACCCTAAACTGGTCACGTGCATGAGACAGGGAATATAAAGTCTAATTGATTAAATCATGTGATCATTGCTGAAGGCTTATCTGACTGAGTCTGAACCAGGTTATTCACCCCACAAGGACTCAGGACATCCCTGATCATTGTTCCCCCTGTTAGGATGAAGTACCCCTAATGTCTCCTGCTTGGACATGTTTCTGAAATATACGTTGTTATATCCTTTTCCCATAGCGTGGGGCAGACAGCTGGCCTCTGCAAGATAAGAATTCCTCTCCATCTGACTCACCTGTGCACTCTCCTCCCTTGCCTCCTTTGACACACTCACGTCCTCCCCTATTCCCTCTGCTTGCCCATCTGGCGCACCCACACCCTGACCCTATGTTACATACTTCTACCCTAGAAAAGAGAATCTAACCACTCCCTTGGGGCTGACACCAACACACTGTTCTCTGTGAGAGAGAGCAATACAATGGCTTAAACTCTCGCAATGTCTTTCGGTGCAGACCTAACCCCCCTGTCTACAGCTTCCTCTGCCATGTCAGTGCTGGGCCCAATGGCTTCCTGTTGTAAACTGGAGCCCGGGAGGGAAAATGGGTGGCTCAGGCCACAGAGGACTGAGCTAGACTGAGGACCAGGACTTCCCGAATCCCCTCCTCCTTTCTCCTTGGTCATAATTAGAGACATGAGCTTTTATTGATCCCCAGATGTCACACACTCCCTTGTATGGTATAAGTATCTCTGAACCTCTGAGGCTCTACACATCCCCTGTCGTGAATACTGAGGTCAATATCCACCTCCCAGATGGGGGAACCAAGGCTGAGAGAAAATGAAGTGCTGCCCACGGTCACACAGCTAAGAAAAGTGGAGCATATGTCATCATAAATAAATGAGTATTCCCACATTGGAGATACTTGCCCAGCACTTATTGACAGCAGCCTGTCATCAAAAGTTTAGAGACCTGACCAACTAGCATGGTTCAGTGTTTGAGCGTTGACCTATGAACCAGGAAGTTATGGTTTGATTCTCATTAGGGGGCATGCAGGAGACAGCTGATCAAGGATTCCCTCTCATCATTGATGTTTTTTAAAAAAATATATATTTTATTGATTTTTTACAGAGAGGAAGAGAGAGATAGAGAGCTAGAAACATCGACAAGAGAGAAACATTGACCAGCTGCCCCTTGCACACCCCCTACCAGGGATGTGCCTACAACCAATGTACATGCCCTTGACCGGAATTAAACCTGGGACCTTTCAGTCCGCAGACCGACGCTCTACCACTGAGCCAAACCGGCTTCGGCTCATAATTGATGTTTATATATCTCTCTCTCCCTCTCCCTGCCTCTCTGAAATCAATTAAAAAATATATATATATTTTTAAAAAAGTTTAGAGACCTTTGCTTTCCATCCTATCTTGCTGCTCTCCACCTGTGCGGGGTCAGGGATGGCTCTGCCTAAGGGTCTGAGCTGGGTATCCACCGACCCCTTTCCTCCCTCAATTGCCTTGCATTCTGCCCACACTCACTTTTATGCCTCTGCTTCCTTTCTCTATGAGTTGATTCAAATTGCTGAGGTTCCTTCTCTCCTTCACTCCACGGGACCTGAAAACAGAGCAGATAACAACTTTAACATCGTGCAAGTAGTTACAAGGCACCTCAAGCAGTCTTGGTGTCCACTCTTCCTGCTCTTCGTTTCGATGGGCTGGTTCTCCCCTCCTAGATCCCCTTCTTTCACAGAAGTTCTCTTCTCTTTGCTCTTTGTGTACAGGGGTGAGTACACGCCAGGATCCTCTGCTCTGTAATCATGGCTCCTAAGCCAGTAAACTTTGTACTACTCCTATCTCTGCTGCATTGACCTTTGACCTCCTCAAGGAAGAGAAAGTGAATACAGCTCAAATTTTTAGTTTTCTTACAGAGCTGATTTTATCACACTTGACACAGTAACCTTCCATGAAGCACTTAGCTTGTCAATTTTGAGAGGGAGAACATGGGTCATGACTGCAATGCAAAGGTGAACAGCAAAGATGAAGATTCCAATGGATCTTGATAAAGTGGGCTGCCGAACTGAAACCAACAAGATGAGATTTCATAGGAAAGTTAGTAAATTCATGCTCTCATACTTAAAACATTAATCATGCACAAGAACTAGATGGTAAGATCTGTGATGGAAAGCAGTTCAGGGGAAACAACTACATCAAAAGTGGGAAAGACGTACCCTACAACTAGATCAATAATAACCAACCTTGCGACACTTTTCTGGGAAATTGATTGCAAAGATCTGAATA